CTCCCTCGCCCGCCTTCTTGCCCGCGCCCTGGGCCGGAGCCCCTTGTCCCCGCCGGCCGCACTTCCAGGCCTCGCCGCCCGCCCTGGCCCCGGGGACTCTGGCCCCGACGGGAGCTCCGCGCCCCGGGGAGAAGGCGGGGACCCGCGGACGCCCCCAGTGTGCGCTCGCTCTCTCCGTGCCGCGCTCGGCATCTGCATATTTCATGTTTGGGGGTAGGACGGAACGACACCCACCGGAAGGCCACTGGGCATTCCTCGTCCCTGAGGGTACTGGGCAGGATCCCCGCGGAGGGGGCGCTTGAGCCCCGGGGCTGGAGGCGGAGGAGCCGCGCGGGGGCTGCAGCCCCGAGTGCCCGCACCCCGCCTGCCACCCCCGGGGCACTCGGCCGTCCCGGGGTTCTCGGTGCCCCGCACGGTCCTCCGGGGCATAGGAGATGCCGGGCTGGGCGCACGAGGACACTGTTGTCGCTTCACCAAAACTGAGTCCTGGCGGGACAGAGCTCGGACACAAACGGCGGCAGAGAAAACAGGTATTTGTGCTGTCGCATGTTTGCTTGTTTAGAGCTCGTGTGTTCCTGCGTGCCCCTGAGTGGCACGATGGCCCCGCGCCCGGCCAGGCCGCCCCGCCCTCCAGGCTCGCGTGGTCCCCGCTCTGCCGGATGTTGACGGCGTCGCCCAGCAACGAAGATGGCGGAGCCCGGCGACCCGGCGGGCGGGTGAGCGGGGCCGAGGGGACAGCGGGTCTCGGGACGGCCGCCTGGCTCCTCGGTCATCGTGCCCGGGTGGCCCCCGCGTCGCCCCCTTTCCGTGGCCTCCGTTGGCGCCCCTTCGCCTCCGCGCCCTTTTCCTCTCCCCTGTCCCTTGGCGCCCCGTGTTCCGGGCCTTGCCCGCACACCTCGCCCGCCCCCCAGCCCCCACAGCTTGCCCCTTCTCCCTTCTGACCTCCTGTCCCTTTGTCCTCTTTCTTACTCTCCCTCTTTCCCCGGCCCCAAGCGCTCGGCTACCTCTAAAGCCCGGGACTCGCTCGCCCCGCGGTAACCATGGCAACCACTATGCCTGGCCGTCCCTGCCGCGGAGCCCTCTGCGGGGCGCGGGTCCATCGGCTGCTGACCCTGCCCTTGCGCTGGGGCCACTCGCTGTGACCGGAGGTCAGGCCAGCCCCTTGCCCTCTTCCTGCAAGGACGGATTCCTCTTCCCGGGCTTGGGGGTGACAGGCGATGGGACAGGTCCCTGAGGTCAGGTGGCCCACGGTAAACCCTACCCTGAGGCCTCCGTGAAAGCACTGAGTGCACACAGAGCGTGGTTAGGTAGAGAGCTCTGCTGCCAGCCCTCTGCAATCTTATGCCTTGTTTGAAAGGATAGAAACCACTTTAAAGAATTTGACCTTTTCATCTTAGGCATTTCTGTATTGTTTAATTTTATTTTTCAAAGGTAGGTCTGCATGTACTGATATGGAAAGACATGCAGGTTATGCTAAATGAAAAGACTAAATGTAAAACAATAGGTATAGTATGATCTCTAATGGGGAGTGGGGGATTTAAATTCAGAGAAAAAAATTTGAAAGAATATAGCCCTAAATCTCTTACTATTACCAGTGATTCTCTTGGGAAGGAGAGAAAAATCACAGGAGACTGTCATCGTCTGTGTCACACAAATCTGTATCAGTTTGGCTTCAAAAAAATAATTAGTTTGTATTTTTAACTTTTTAAAAACCAAAATATTTTTTAAATGTAAATCATGACATTCTTGTGCTATGTAAATCATTGAGAAATGAACGAAGGTTTTTTGTGTGCAAGAGTCTTTTCTCTACGTTGTATTTCTTTTCCCCAGTTTTCTCCCAGACACGAGTATATTTAAAGTGACTTTCTAGGGCCATAATCGTGTTCCTACAGTGCTTCTTCCATCATTGTAATTTTCATGCATTGGTAGAGCAGCTCTTTCATGGCACCTTGGCCACCTGACAGGCATGATCCTGTGCTAGTTAGTGACAAACAGGACAGTCATGGCCTACAGCCTCGAGAGGGAGGTAGTGAATTATCAAGTACATAAATAGATTTGCAGAATCCAGGAGGTGATAAGTGCCAAGAGAAAGAAAGTTGTCACTTGAAGGTGTTCGATTGTTTCTCTGAAACCAGGTCTCACCTGGAAGACGGCTCGGCTTCTGCTGGAGAAGAGGAACAGAGTCACCAAGGCGGCAGGGTAAAGTTCCCCACGGAAGAGTTATCCTGGGCTTGCGTTTACTGAGATTAAAGAGAGTTTGGACTTGGTTGAGCCAATTGTGCAATGATCCTACTACCTTGCACTGGGACAAACTCAACTCAGTTGCGGAGAAATTTATTTTCCTTCCAGCCCCTTCCATAGTGTCCATAATTGGTCAGGAATTCCAAGGACACCCAATTCTTAAATCGCCCTGAGTTTTTCAGAACTCATTTCCCATAATAAAGGCTGCAAAATGACTGTGAAAAACAGACAGCAGACAAATTAAGGCATGAGGCATAAACTCTTAGTGATGCCGAGGAGTGTGTAAATGCAGTTTCCCCGTCTGTGTGCTCACACGACAAACAGCAAAACTCCCAAGGTCCCTCACGCTCTGTTTCCTGGTTTTTCCCCCCACGTATTACAGGTGCCACCGCTAGAGAAGGACGATGACCAGAGAAGCGAAGAAGCTGTTGGTGCTACTGAGAGTCCTGAAGGGGAAATCGCCGATGAAGGGGAGGTGGAAATGGGTTTGGAAGTCACAGCTGGAGAAGAAGCCGCCACTGGAGGGGAAGTTGAATCCCTCGGGGACACCGGGGAGGAAGGTGAATTCTATTCCGATGTGGAAGTCACAAACCCTGAAGGGCAAATCAGTTCTACAGATCTGACTTATTCACATACCAGTCCTGGGGACGTGCCTGTAGGGGGAGTTGGCCCCACACACCCGCAGGGAAGGATGAAAATAGAAGGTGGCCTTGAAGAGTCCTGCAGAGAAGCCACCCATTCATCAGAACCACAAGAGCTAGGGGTCGTCTCCGCAGAGCCATCCCAGGGAGTCTTAGCCTCATCCGGACCCACAGTTAGCACACCGGTGAGTAGCCCCGAGTTGTCTCGTGCAAGTGTCTTATTGCCCACATGGTTGGCCACCGATATGAGGAACGTAGGGCTGCACTATAAATACAAATTGCCATCCTTGTTAGAAATTGCTTNGATATGAGGAACGTAGGGCTGCACTATAAATACAAATTGCCATCCTTGTTAGAAATTGCTTAGCAAACTTAGGTCTCAAGATCCACCACCGAATGCTGAGAGATCCTGGACTCTTCAGTGTTCCCAAACCCAAGATTGATGACATCCCAGTCACCATCCATATAAAGGCATCCAGGTGTCTAGTCTTCCAGAGCAGCGTGATCCAATATGGTAGCCATTAGTCACATGTGGCTACAGAGAGCTCAGAATGTGTCCCGTGAGACAGAGGAAGTGAATTTTAATTTTCTTAATATTCTAATTAATTTACATGTAAATAGCCACCTGTTTCTAGTGGCTACCATATCAAACAGCGTAGTCCTAGACGTTTCTAGTGGCTACCATATCAAACAGCGTAGTCCTAGACAATAACAATGAAAATAGTTACGTTCTTATATTTTCCCAGGTTTTTTAAGTCATTAAACAATCACAAATTTACAGAAAAAAAGTAAATTTTTTACAGAAAAAGAGTAAAAAAAGAAGTTCAATTAAAAAGAAGTTTTATTTTCATATGCATTTAAGAGTAAGTTGCTGATCTGATACACCATCACCTCCAAACGCTTCCATGTGCATTTCCCACAGACAACCGCAGCACAGCCATCAAAATCTGGACATTTCACTGCTACATGACCAGACAGTGCCCAGGCCTCATTCATGTTTCACCAATGTCCTGAGAAGGTCTTCTGTAGGAAAGAGACCCATTTCAGAGTCGTGCTGCCTTGAGCTATCACATCTCATTAGTCTCCTCAATCTTTCCTCAACTTTGGTGACCTTGACCCCTTTGAAGACCCCAGGCCAGCTGCTTTGTAGCATGCAAAGGTCCGAGTTGCAAGTCCTGGGCAGGACTGTCACAGAAGCAAAGACGCACAGTTTCAGTCTGTCCCCTTTCTGCCAGTATTCACTCTGATCGCTTGAGTAAAAACTGCCAGGCTTCTCCTGTGAAGCTTCCTCTCTACCCCTCTGCATTTAATAGAGGTTTTGTAGGGAGGTGCCTTTTTTTTTTTTTTTTTTTTTTTTTTTTTTTTTTTTCC